ATTATATCATACATAATATAAAAACTATTATAGCCTAATGTGCCCTTTATTTATTTTTTATACAATTATGTTATTATTTAGTAGGGATGCATGATATTATCGGACCAATATCGGAATCGGATGATAATGGCTTTAAATGTAAATATCGGCATCGGCCCGATATGAAAAATTATGCCTATATGTCTTGCTGATAAGAGGAATACATTAACTCACGTGTGCTCCGGGTGTGCTAGCGATTAGATCACGTCAGCAGTGTGGCTCATTCTTGAAGCAAAGTTTTGCCTGAATGATGATTAGATTCACTGTTTTGGATCGCTGCATTTAAACTGAGAATCCACACGCGTTCGGTGTGTGATAGAGTCAACAGTAATAGCACCTACAGCAGCAGCGGCGGCAGCCTCCCCGGGGTCCTAATGCCCACTCAGTAAAGGGGTTTTAATTCCGTAGGGGGCGCTGTTGGCCTACTTCTAATAAAATGAAAGCAAAATACACAGATAATATTTAGACTGTGTTTCCGATTAAATAAAGCAGTAATTGATGCCATAAAACCATGAGTATGTTTTGATTTAAAGTTCAGAAGCTATAGCTCAAACAAAAAAAACACAAGCTTGTCACTTAAATTAAATAATTTTATATAACTGATTTATTTATTAATGTGTAATATGTTATATTTTTAAACAAATTATGAGCTCTAAAAGATTTTCAGAATGTTTACAACTCTTGCTTTAGACCATTTACAAATGTTAAAACTTAAAATAAAATGTTAAGTTTACCACTGCATCTTTCTGAAAAAAAAAAATGCAGCGATTGAATATAGTTTATTTATAGTTATTTTCAAATCTTCAATGTACTGTCATTATAAAATAACTTCATTGTTGTTTATTTAATGGAACAAATAAGTTCTTGTTAAAAACTAACCAAAATTAAAAAATAATTTGCTTATAATTTCTGCACAGGAGAGAATTGGTGTCATTTCCAAACAAAAGGAAATATATCGATATTGGAATCGGCTATCGGCCAAAATGAGTTGGAAAATATCGGCATATCGGATATCGGCAAAAATCCAATATTGTGCATCCCTATTATTTAGTGTTGATTATTATATCTAAAAATAAGATAGCAATTGAATTTAATAGTTGTTCATTTTAACCTTTAATATTAAATATCTAAAAGTCAACAAAAGCTTTACAGGGGACCCTGTCAATAATGTATAGTTTACAGCTTTAAATGAGAGAGATTTTTTTTTTTTTAAGAATAACTGACATGTACTATTCCTGATATATAACCGAACTGATATCAAACTGAATCAAATTGAGAGCCCTGGTGAACAAACGTCTTTGTGACTGAAAATTATGCTAGAATAAATTTACATTTAATTAAGATCTTTACACTTACATTTTATTTAAAAACCAAAACAGTCCAGATTTTTCCGCTAAATGAAAACTTGGGTGCAAAAAAAGAACTGGGTGCATCACTAATAATCAATCTGAAAGCTCTATGTTCTAGTACACACCCGAGGAACGGTCCCCACAAATGGCGCACATGCGTTTCTGGGACAGCATTGGCCCAGAGCCACTGACAGACTTCAAGCCAAAAGGGGGTTTCACATCATCAGAGCTGCTGACAGCATGTAACCCAGACACAGACATTGAGGAGTTTATCTGCATGAGGTAAATAGACAAGGAGTGATGAGAAAACCAAAGTCATCAGCACAGTAAAAGACAATACATCAATACAGCCCTATTATCATATGGATAAGTCCAGAAGTACTTGAACATGCGGCTCACCCGAGAGTTGCTGATGGGTCCATAGCCGACGGATGGCGTGCCGGGAACGCCGGGAGAGCCGATGGACGAGCTGACGACTGACAGTGGCGAATCTACGGAGCTGACAGGGCTACTGACGGCAGAAGTGGAGGGCGGTATGGAGTTCATAGATGCACACTAGACTGGCCAATAGAGAGGAGACTGTTGATCGTTGATAATCTACTGAAAGAGAGTGGACACAAAGAGGGTTTTAGACACGATACACTGAGTGCAATGAAAGATTTCTGTAATATTCCTGGATATGTCATTAAAGTCCCAAGATGGTCATTTCAGTGAAGAATGGAAAAGAAAGCAAAGCTGGTGCCATACTCACAATATCCACCTTTTCAAATGTGTTTCCTCTTGAGTATCTCAGAAAATATGGAAAAATATTGCGATGTGTACATTAGGAAAGAAAATTAGTCGTTTTGTCTGCTGTTTACTGCTCTATTAATCCTGCTGCAGATTAGGCAGATGTCTAAGGCTGTGTATCAAAAACTAAGAAATTGCCTACATAGACAGCATATTGTGGAATCACGAGAGTGTTCAAACGTTTTAATAACAGTCTATTATGACCAACAATGCAGTCTAGATAGGTAGCTCACTATGTTCGAAACTTCGAACACGCCCATATCGCCCAAAATGATGCCTTGGTAGGGAGCTCACTAGGTTTTGGGGCGCACCCCAAATCTGTTCCTCATAATCACCCCCACCAAAACTGACACTATCAGCGCTAATGTTTGCCAACTCCATATGCAATTGATAATATATGACTAAAACGGGAAAATCTGTGCTATAAACGCATCTTAACTCGATAACGAGCGTTATTTTGATGCTCCTGACAACGTTTGGATTATTTATTATTTAGCACGCAGCGCAGAGCCCAGCTAACATGCTAATGGCGGCTAACGGACTGTTTATGACTAAAAGAAAACCATTTGGTCCACCCCTTTCACTCTTAATACCCTGTTTAAAATGCACAAACGAATCTATTTAAGTATAATTATTATTTTGTGCAGCATACAAACACTTGTATTCTAAAACACAAATGGCGAGACGAAATAATAGGCCAACCCGTGTTAGCTTAGCTTAGCCTAGCTCGTCCAAGTGTTTGTTTGTTTTTCCGTCATTTTTACAGAAGTTTGCAGAGTTTATATGAGCATATCGACTCCAGTCTCACCCATCAAACGCCGAATCCTCCGACAGCAACGATTCGTGTCCTTTAAAGCATCGTTTCATCTATATTTTACAGTTTACGCCATAAATGTTTGCATCCAGACAAATACCTTGTTAGTCAAGCCTCCTAGTGGACACTAAGAGTCTGTTCACATAAGAAATATATGCAAGCAAATAAATAAATAAACAAATAATTAAATAAATATACACGCAGAAAGTACTACATGTTCTTTTGGTTATTAAAAGGTGTCATTTGGTCTGAAAGCTTTGGAATAATAACATAATTATTAGGCCTATTTAAGATTATAAACAAATAAAGCTGGCTGCCTTTTTTCTCTTTAATTATTATTTAATTAATGCATGATAGAAAGATATACTTCATACAGTGCAAAGGAGAAAATTCACATAAAGTCAAGTTAGCTCTCTATGGGACATTGTCATATGGCGCTAAGAAAATTGCATTTAAAATACAGTAATGTTCAGCCAATAAAATGTAATTTTAGTAATGTCACATGACATCCCCTTTAACCAGTAAAATTAAAATCTATTTGCCATATGCTTCACATTTTTGGCAACAAGACAGGAAAGGAGACATTAGCACATGTTAGCTCATATATTCTCAAGGCACCACCAAGGCTACATATAAATTATTTACATATAAATTATGGTTTCCTATATATATAGGCCTATATAAAGGATAAGAAAATATATAAGAATATATATATATATATATTATCTTTAGATAGATAGATAGATAGATAGATAGATAGATAGATAAAACCAAAACAGGAGTCTTGCTGATTTTCACTTGTGCTATGATAATTGATTTGGTTTTCCAAGATGAAACACAACATTGAAGATGTTTAATGCTTTTGAAACACTTTCAAGGCAGTGAAATCGCATCTAAATTTGTGTTAAGTTTTTAGACATTTTCACACAAATCAAATATAGCAGCACAGGAGGATATGGAATTTTAATAAAGATATTTAATGAAACAGTAAGACCTTTTCACTTCTTTTCAGATAGTGAACATGCATTTGAATTTGTGTGAAGTTTCAGACAATTTGCCAAAAATAATTTACTATAATGGGACAAAGTCAGCTGAAAAGAAAAAGGTTGAAGATCAAAACACATATTTTGTCCTAAATACATGTAAAATATAAAGTCAATTATTTGTTTCAAGCTGTGAATTCACAATTCGTCCCATAAAAGGTTAAGTGAAAAATTCTACATAAATATATGTTCCTGTTATATATATATATATACTTATAAAACACATATTTTATTGGTTTCCACATTTTAGCAAATTTCTCATAAGTTTAAATTTAAAGTATTTTGCCGTTTCTGGGAACCCAATAATGTTTTGCCCTATTGTTTGGCTGAATATTCACACATTTTGTTCAATCCTAGACAGAAACGGGGTCATCTGAGGTGATGTGGTGAACGTGGCACCTTTTCTTATGAAAAAAAAAGTGATATATCTATGTAGCCTGATATATCACAGATATACCCCCCCCCAGGTGTGACATTGCATTCAGTCTGATCTGCAACGTGACCTGTTCACCCTCATTCCCACACAGAATGCATGCCCACATGATCGTTTTTCAACTGTCACAGCAACTTCATAATTATCTTTGAAAATATGTACTCAACATTCAATACTGTAAGTAGCAGCTTCATTCTAATCTAATGAAATATGTTGCAGTATATTGTGGGAGTACATGACGACATTATTTCTCAAGGGTAGAGTAGATAACAGGCTAAACAACATTCTTAAAACACAGACTGCTTTTAAAACAGTCAGACTCCAATCACACAACCAAGGAGTACGAACGTTTTAAGCTGATTATATTTATTTGTTAGCTATTATATTTCTACATTCCAGATTGAAATATCCTGTCAAATGTAAAAGTGTTATGCTTTCATTGGGATTTTAGAGTTTACTTTTCTTGAGTTGAGAACTATGAAAATTACATGCCATGTCAACTTGTGATTCTGATTTGATGGTGTCAGATTGTGTTTAAAAGGAGGAAAAGAAGGCTGTATGGACCATGTGTTACTCACACACTGAGCTGAGTGTTGCTCCTGAAATTACAACATCATGGTTTACTTTCTGCTTGTTGTCTTTGGTAAGTGTTTAAGCAAAACATGGATTTATATTTTATGATTTTGACCTGTTAAAAAGAATGACACAAATTAGTTATTTATTCTTTCTGCTGTAAAGTGAGCTTTTCAAAAACAATTTTCCACATGTAGCCTGGATGTTTTCAAACGTTTGTAGTGCTTGGCATACCATGAATTACTGTGTGGTACATGTGCTGGTAAATTTCTTCGTAAAAGCATTAGTTTTTTTTTTCAGGACTTTTGTCCTTTACATCAAGCCAAATATCTCACCAGTATCACTTCATAAATATCAGAAAGAACTGGACTGAGGCTCAGAGATTCTGCCGTGAGATGTACACTGACCTGGCGACTGTGAATAATGAAGATGAGAAGAACAGCTTGTTCAAAACCATAACTGATAATTCATATGATGTGTATACTGGACTTTATAGAGGTGAAGTGTTCAGATGGCATTGGACCCTGCCAGACAGTGTGTACAATGAAAAGACATTCCAAAACTGGGAAAAAAATCAACCAGATAAAAATAATAATGAGGGCTGTGCTGCAATGGACAACAATGGGAACTGGTTTAGTGATAGCTGTGATACACAAAGGCAATTTGTCTGCTTTAATGGTAAGATGTTTTTATTGTACTATTGTCTGTTCATTGTATTGTGACTATACATAGTTTACAGTATTACCTTCATTTAATATAAGTTACAATAGTGCTCCAGTTTCATAAACGTATTTTCATAAACACATTAGTGGCAATAAGAATCTTTTTCTTGTCATTTGTCTGTTACAGCCACTAAAACGTATATCCTGATTGAGCAGAACAAATCCTGGAGGGAGGCCCAAGAATTTTGCAGAACTTTTCACACAGATCTAGTGAATGTCAGAACCTCCTCAGAAAATCAAGTTGTCAAGAACACTGCAAAAAACGATGTATGGATTGGACTATTTAACGACCCTTGGTCGTGGTCGGATCAGAGTAACTCTTCTTTCCGTTTCTGGAATTCAAGTCAGTTAAGTAACAACAGAAGAGAGCGGGACTGTGTTACAGTGATGGTGAACCACACAGGGAAATGGAATGACGTTCAATGTAACACCACTCAGCCCTTTATCTGTCACGGTGGTGCGTTCGTCTTTTTCTCTTTGTCTTTAAAACTGCTCAGAAATGAGACAGAATAATTCAGTTTCCTTCATCGCTGTTTAATATGCATCTAATCTGACTCCTTTACAGATCTGAAATCTCATTCAACTACTAAACCAGGTATATTGCCAACACCAACATTAAATAGTTCACAAAAAAAAAAAACTGTCATCATTTACTCACCCTCATTTGGTTCCAAATAGGGATGCACAATTTGGGGACGAAATTTAACTGCATTTTTATAGCACATATATTTTATTTAATTATTTATTTAAGTCTGTTTGTACTTCTTTCTCCTGCAGAGCAATAAGAGAAGGTATTTTGAATAATGTTGAGAAACAGCATAGAACCCCATGAACTGACTGACAAAAAAAAAAAAAAAAACTTTTTCAAACTGTCTTCTTTTAAGCTCCACAGAAGAAAGAATGCATAAAGTTTGACATGAGGGTGACAGAACTTTCATATTTGGGTGGAGTATCATTTAAAAATGCAGTCAAAATCATACTATCCTTTGAACCTTTTAACACATGAAAAATAGTTAAAAAAATAACTATGCAATTTATTACCTGAAATGTTCTCACTGATACAGCTACTACTGATACTGAGGGGGGAAATAGAAGCACACAACCTACACAAATACTCACTACAGGTGCAGAGCAAGGTAAGACACTCTGAATATTTTTGAACCTGTGTTTACTACAACAGTTAGTTCCGCTCCTTGAATTTGATTGGCTGAGCAAAGACTTTTCAGTGTTTGTGTGCATGTTCCAGACAAAACTCTCATAATCTGTATATTATTAGTGGGGATTTTTCAGTTATAATTTCTGCAGATAATGACAGCAACACATCACCATCTTTATAAGCGAATCATTGATTGATTCGTTAAAAAAACACAGATTCATTCAGGAACCAAACACCACTGCTTCGTTGCTCTGAGACATGCTTGGCCTTTGTTGGCGAACTCTTTTGTTGGCAGAGCAAAAATAGACAAAGTGGCAAAAAAACTGGCAGAAACGTTAATATTACCTTCTTTATCATTTAACTGTTGTATTACAAGAACCGTACAATTGCTTGTGTGATATTGCTATATTATATATTAGTAGGCTTGCACCCTTTATTATAAAGAATAATTGAACTCTTATGCTTGCTGCCCTAAAAGGCACATTTTCAAGGTTCAATAAATAGTACATATAAAACTAGTTTATTATATTTAAATGTATGCTATCATTTATCAAGTCAAGTCACCTTTTATTAAAATAGAACTTAATATAATACAGATTGTGTCAAAGCAGCTTCACAGTAATAAACAGGAAAATAACATGTTTTGTTTTAAAGTTGCATAATGCAGTCAATGTAGTTGAATCGATAATATTTCTAAATTAATTGTCTATTATACCCTTATTATACCCTTTTCCTTATTGTCACCCTTACAACTCATAATGCCTATTTTTGCCAAATCACCCCAAAGATAACCTGATTCTGGTCCGTGAGAACCTGACGTGGACTGAAGCTGTGACTTACTGCAGAAAGCACCACGTGGACCTGGTCTCCATTCACAGTGAGGAGCTTCAGAACAGGACAGCAAGAAAAGCCATCCAGGCCTCCACTTCTCATGTATGGCTGGGTCTCCGTTACACCTGCACCTTCAACTTCTGGTTCTGGATAAAGAACAGAGAAGCAGGCTGCTACCAGAACTGGGCGTCTGCATTATTTCTCATATGGTCTATGTAAAGAACAGAGAAGCAGGCTGCTACCAAAACTGGGCGCCTGGTCATGGGCCACATGGTTATGAGGAGTGTGGGCTGTCAGGAGCTATGGAGTCCACTGGAGGGCACCGTTGGGTCAGGAGGCCAGAGAGTGAAAGACTCAATTTTATCTGCCAAATATGTACTAATGCATTTTAAAGGCAGGGTCGGTAATGTGGTTCCAAAACATTTTTTGTTATGTTGGTTGAAAGTCTCTTCACATCCCGATAGCAACCACTAAGTTAAGTGGTCTAAATTTATTTATATGTAGTTTGTGGAAGGCGTAGGTCCATAAAATGTTCGTCCAATCAAAATGTTCGGTCTGAACATCACAATAGGCTGCCCTGCCTGCCTGTCAAAATATGTATTTGCATACCTCTGTGCACCCTGTTTGCGCAGACATGATATGTCATCAGCGCGTTTCAGTGAGAAAGAAAGGCGCTATTATTGTAATATTATGGTTTGTACTGTAATGTTTTCTCACCGGTGAATGAGATAAGGTAATATGACAGAGTTGCATTCAATCCTCCACCAATGCCGTCTCTCATGGTGTCGCAGGTTAGTCTCTGCTCTGATGGAGCGCGTCCATGGCTGCATCCGAAAACTCTAAAATGCTGCCTTTGGAGGCAGCATTCCAAGGCAGGAAGGCATCAAGGCACGTCCGAATCCAAATTCTGCTTTACTTCCTGTCTCCGGAGGTACAATCTTCTGATCAAATTTTGAAGGCAGCATAGATGTATCCTTCGCTGCCTTTTATATCCCACAATCCTGTGCGTTCCATTCCGTGACGGTTGAGCTAAAAAATAAAGATGGCGTTTGAAAGTTGCGTTTGGTGGTCAGTTTGTGTGTAAATGTATATTTCTGACTAACTTTTTGCACTTTTGATGTTATTTCTAGCGAGAAATAAGTATTATAGTAATTAAATATTTGTTTAGTTATTACAAAAACTCATTCTATTTTGTTGTATATCATTAAACCGTTAAACTGCCACAGAAGCATGTCCAAAATCAGTTTCATGAGGTGCCTTCGAGCAAAAACGCTGCCTGCAAAGTCATTGCCTCATACGGCAACGAGGCAGAAAGTCAGCTGCCTAAGTTTTCGGATGCAGCCATGTGTTTTGGAGGAGGCGTGGCTTTGCAGAGTGATTATGCAGGGAGGGTGGGGATCTTGCTTTCAAAGCTAACTTGCTATTTCTAGCCTTTCCGAAATCGCCTACCCTACCTTTAAAGAACGATGGAAAACCATGAAGATGCAGTCAGAGAGAAACTGCTTGTCGTGCACTTTTATTTGATCCTACACATTTTAAAGGATAATGTGAGATTTACATGTTATGCAAACATGATATCCAACATAAACTGTAAGCATCAAAACACAATGTTACATTGTCACATTATGTCTCATCTGGTCTATGAATTCATGTATTTTTTTTTTCTTCTGTGTTTGACTTTAATTTAAAATGTGTCAACAGGAAAGTTTGGCCATGTGAAGAAAATGCACAATAGTGATTTAATTTCATAAGATAATGTAATAAGAACTTTTTATTATAATCGTTGAGTAGTACCAGCAAATATGTGATCTGTATCTGAACACATTTCTGGTTAAGGTTCTTTTACCCTGTAATTGTTATATGCTTATTCTGAACATGGCTGTAATGTTTGTAATAATACAAATACATTTGGCATATTGTAATATGAATCATACTTTTAAAAATTGTAATGTTATAATGAAATTACAATATTGTACAAATACAACTTAAATATAATATTTGTTCAAGAAGTTTGTTGCACAACATAATGTTAATTATTATTCTTCACATTTTTGTTTTTTATTGATTTTAATTAATAGGCTATACAACAATGACAACCACACAAACATATACAGCATTCTTCTTAATGAAATTACGGTATTTAAATGTAAATTTAAGTTAAAACCATGAAACCTAAAATGTTGCTACCGTATTTTTTACGGTGAATTTCTGGCAACCACAACTGCCGTTTTTTTATTTTATTTTGTAATTTAATTTTATCTATGTAAGTCCAATGAAGGTCCCTCATGATTGACCAGCAGTTTAGGAGTTTCAAGCAAAAGAGTTGGGTTCCCAAGAGCAGGGGAGTGGCTTTAGACACAACAATGGTTGTGGGAGGGAACATTTCTAAAACTCTTGCTGCGTCTCAATGTGCCTACTTATACTACGCCCTTAAAGTATGTACTCTTTTGGTTAAGAAAAAGTACACACTTTTGAGTGTGTAGTAGAAGAGTAGGCAAGCTTTGGGACATACTATCACGTCACATATACTCTTTTCAACATACTATGCTTTGGGACACACTCCCCTTGTCCAAATACCCACACTTGCGGTCTTGGTCACTTGAGAGCGCGTGGATTGCGGGAAGTATATGCGCAAGACTGTCCAAGGTCTTTAAAACGCCAGAGCGCAGTGCCCTTAATGCACACTAAACCCACACTATCTCGAATACCGCTCCGGTATTGCATCATGTTCTGGAAATAAATCGTGAGACTTTTTGCCGAGATCTCGCGAGAAGTCACGGAAACCTTTCCAATGCAAGTTAAATAGCAAGTGCGGGTATTTAGACAAGGCAACTTATTCTAATCTCACATACTATTTAGGATGGATAGTATGAACATTGAGACGCAGGGTCTAAGATTTCTAGACCACAAAAAACTGATGCATTTATTTATTTCACCATTCCGCATTAAACGATCTTGTGACTTGATGAAATCGCTCTCACTTTTAAACAGGGTAAGGCAATTGCATTTAGGATCATTTGGTCATTAATTATTTCATTAAACACGCTATGGATGGTAGTCATACATATTTTACTTTATTCCTATCTAAATTAAATTGTGCAGTCCTTATGTTAACAAATTTGTGGAAACCATATCTATAGCTAAAACATTTGCAATAATGATTTTTGAAAGGATGTAAAATTCACTGAAATAGAAGATGAGGAGTTTCGTATTTGTGCTGATTGAGTTGGTATGTTTCAGCATACACTGGTACATGTTTAAAACTATAAATTCTCTGACCACAGATTACCAGCCGTTTATGAGATATGCACTGAATTTATGGAATCATGAGTTGCTGTACTAGTCCTCTGGTACTCCTCATTTATGGGTCACACTCAAAATTACACTCAAAAGTGACCAAATACCTTGAGTGTACCATTTTCCTTTCACTGAAACAAATGTACAATATTTTAGTATTTCTTCTTTAACATTTTGTATTTTGAGGTGATTTCATGTTACTAAAAATATTCACCTCTAAATTAAATCAATAAAAATTGATAGAAAAAGAAACACATTTTTAATTATTTTTTCCATACAGTATATAAGTTAAAATTAGAGCAAAATAATTTAAAATTCAGTGGATGGAGGCAGATTGGTGTCTGTAAAGTGCAAGTAATCACTTTAAATTGTACTTGAAGTACAAATACCACAAAATAATACTTTAGTACAGTAATCCAGTAACATTACTTAAGTATTTTATACCTCTGTTACTATGTCAGACAGCTCTTAAAATTATTATGCGCCATGATATGTGATCTCACTGTCAAAAGATTTATTAATAGTCTTTTTTGTGTTTGTGTGTAACAGGAAAAATTAACCATTTTCACACACACACAAGTGAGTTTTTTTAATGTATCTGTGTAACCTGCACATATTATTATAAGATATTGGTATTACAAGTAAATAATGTGAAAGCATTTTTAATATTTATTTAAAAGGAAGATGACAACAAGTATTCCATTGTGCTGTAAATTGTGTTTTAATATCTTAGTTCACCCCAAAATGAACATTTCCTGATTATTTGCTCATCCCCAGGCCATCCTAGATTCATATGACTTTCTTTCTTCAGCTGAAGAGAAGTTAAGGTTATTCTCTAGCAAAACGTTTTGTCATTTTCAAAAAATAAATAATGATATGCTTTTTACAAATGCTCGCCTTGGTCCAACTCTGTGAAGCAACCTTCTCAAAGTGCATTTTTTTCTCAGCATCTTGGGTGGCCTGGGGCTAAGTGAATAATCAGAAAAAAAATAATTTTTGGGTGAACTATTCCTTTCATATTTTTGCCTCCCCTTACATTAGTACCTGTGGTGTGAAGGATGTACAATCTATGGAGGCCGTTTCTAGGCCTCTAAATGAGGGAATTGTCTCTAAATATCTGTAACATATGCGAGTCCCTCAAGAAAGCACATATCAGTCCCAACACTGACACATGCTCCAATTACAATCAAATTAGGAAGCATATAGAGGATGCTGAACAGTGCCTGAAAACATCAGAGACAATGATTTAACAAAAGCTTGGATATTTAGATGAAAAGCATGGAGCAGCTTATTAGAGAGAAACTAAATGTTAAGCTGCAGAAAAAAGAGAAAAGCCTGGCCATGGATAATTTGCACATAAAGAAGAAGTCTGCTGAGGAATCATTAGAGCATTCCAAAGCAGCTTTGGAGCAGGCTGAAAGAAGTGTACACTGTAAAAAAAATTCCGTAAAATTTACGGTAAAAAAACGGCAGCTGTGGTTGCCGGAATTTTACCGTAAAAAATACGGTAGCAACGTTTTAGGTTTTAACTTAAGTTTATAGTTAAATACCGTAATTTCATTAACTGATATAATGTTAATATACCAACCTATTGAAGTACTGAATCAGCAAATTATGCCATAAGAGCACATCAAGACAGAATGAACAGATGTAATGAGCAACTACAGGGGCGATAATGCTTTGGATGGATCGCTGGTGAGTATTACACTACTCTTACCATCATCCTGAATTGTAACAATTTGTGAAGTTATGCATTTATAAATTTGTGCCTGATGTGTGTTCAAGAGATTTCTGTTCCCCACTATGTCCAATAATGATTAGTGAGGGACAGCGGGGATTTGAAGAAGCTTCAAATGCCTTGAGAGATGCTGAATGGGAGAAACAAAACTGTGAGTCTCAAGTGAGGAACTGGACTGCAAAAG